CACCTATACGGTATGCAACAGTTGAGACCATAATAACCAACTGGAAAAAAAAATCCAAAAAAATATAATAAAAAACATATAAAACAGCAAGGCAAATGTGCATTTTTGTGAAATTTTGCCAGCATTTCAATTTCAGAAATCTTGAGATATTTCGGAAATCTTGAGAGTGGAGTCCAGTGTCGCCCCCTTGATCAGCAAACTTCCAACAAAAAGGCAACTGGATTAAGAGATTGAAAATGGTCCTTTCCCGTGAAATCAGCGGAGTCAAACTGTACTCTCGTATGATGAAGATCCCCAGCTCCTTGTCCTCTTGTTTGGGGAGGCAATGGTAGGGCTCACGGAGATAAGGCTAAAATTGATTGCTATTTTACCTACTACAACCTACCGTGAGCCCTACCATTGCGCCCCCCCCCCCCCCCCCCCCCCCCCTTCTGTTTATCGTTAAACCCTAAATCCTAAACCCTATCCACTACCTTGCAATAAAGACAAAACCATACGAAAAGAATGGCGATGTCATTATTGTTATCGCATTTGCCGTTATTTTCTCTGCATGGTTTTGTTGCCATTTTACAGCATGGTTTTCTTGTTAGCAGTTTACGGCATGAGTTTTGTCGTTACAGGCTGGTTTTGTAGTTTGTTCTTTATTGATATCGATGGTGGTTGTCCTTCAGGACATCCGTTAGAATTGGAACGATACCGAGAAGAAAAAGGGGGAAAAAAAAGATAGTGGTGGTCATGAAATGATTGGTGTATCAAGGGTGCATTCATTGCATACGAAAGACTTGTAGAAATGGACGAATTGTGAATGAAGAGAAGAGAAGAGAAGAGAAGAGAAGAGAAGAGGAGAGAAGAGAAGACAGGAGAGGAGAGGAGAAGAGAGGAGAAGAGAGGCGGAGAAGAGAAGAGAAGAGTCATGCACAAAAGACAAAAATATATGGTGGTGTCTCTCTCTCCGTGTTCTAGCAGAAGATTCATGCTCATTTTGCACGTTGGTGAGTAGTGGAGTGAGACCCGATGTACACCCACCTCAAAGGAAATTGTATGAGCCTTGGTGCACAGCTCACCAAATGTGCAAAATAGAGAATGTATCTTCCCCTACATCGTGGAAAGATGCACCTGTCATAGTTTTCATCTTTTTCTCAATCAGTGAGTGGTCCGGTTAGGCCCTGTAGTCTGAACTTTGTGGCGATGCGAAGGCTACTGTCTTCACCTGAATAGAATGCCCGGTCATTATAGCCGTATTTGGTGCAACTTTTAGTCTACATACCAGGGTTGCATCCCTGCCGACCGCCGACCGTATTACAGCCGACCAGTTGGGCCGACCGGTCGGCGGTCTGCCGACCAGTAAAAAAA